ACAACTGTGGATCACCTTGCCAAATCTCAACACCCCAGGTGCATGTACAGAGTTCCCACAGGGCAAGGAGGCTAAAAATGATGTAGGGATGACTTACTTTCTCCCAAAGCAGTTTCCATCTCCCCCTCTGGATATGATTCCTTCTATGGAGAATAATGTGTGTAGAACATCAAGGGGGTCTCAACGGCTACAGAGCTTCACTTTGGCACAACCAGAGAACTGAAGCTCATTAACTCATTTTATTATCTTATTCTTCTTTTCTGTGGCGCACTGTCACAAATTTTATACAGCAGATCCCAAAAGGTAAATTTCCTTTTTGCCATGTTTTTGCCTAAGAAGTGCTAGTTAGCTGCTCCTGGAAAGGAGCTATATAAAACCGTGCATTTGATAATTTGAATCTGTCTCTGCCCAGAAGTAGCTATTCATGAATATGTTGGTACAAATATCATCCTGCCAATCTGTTAGAGTGAAGTGAGACCAAAGACAATGCCACCTGAGGTCTGGGGAAAGAATGTGAAGTTGTTGTTTATCACAGAAATAGTTTACAACCCAACCAGACTGATAAAACAAGCTCGGTGTGAGAGAGGAGCAAGAAAACACAAGAGCTCTTATAAAAGAAATAGCCCTTAATACCAAAATGAACTTGGTACATATCAAAGACATCAATGTAAACACTGTAGCCTTGGAAGTACCATACTACAGATTTTACCTAACTTACAATAATCATCTTTCCACGCATGATGTGAAACCAAAACGACAAGACTGACAAACTTAATGATGTAAATGTAAACTACCACATAGACTGACTGAAACAGAACAGGAGTCCAGAAAAAGACCCAAATACAAAAAGAGTTTCATATCTAAAAGCTTATAAAGGCAGCACCTCAAACCAGTGAGGTAGAGATGAGCTCTCTGATGAGAGCTGCTGGAAAAAAAATATATACTCAGATCATGCTAATATACGATGAACTACTTATCTTGATATATTTATCAAGATTTAAATATAAAAAACAAGCTATAACAGTAACAGAAGAAAAATAACTAGAAGTAGGAGGTATTCATATGAAAAAAATTCAACCTTTCTCACACTAAAAGAAATATAAATTAAAACCACATTCAGATACCATTTCTTATTCTACATTCAGATACCATTTCTTATCTATGAAAATTAACAAAACACCCAAAAGTTTGAAACATTCTTTGCTGGTAAAACCATGAGCCTCATACCTTGCTAATAAGAGTACAAAACAGTATAACCCCTTTTGCATTTACCCTTTGACCCAGAAATCCCTTTTACAGGAAACTACCCCTCCTGTACTCACATGAAATGTCATCTGTACAAGGTTTTTCTTTTTTTTTTGTCTTTTTTTTTTTTTTTTTCCATGTCCGGCAACGGATTGCAACCCTCAGTGTCGCCCCCGTACCGGACCAGGACCGGCAACGGGATCGCAACCCTCGGTGTTGCCCCCGCGCCTCGCTCAGCCAGTGAGTGGGAACCGGTCTGTATGTGGGATCCGAACCCTCGGCGGGAGCGCTGCCGCGCTTCCCAAGCGGTGCACTAGCGCAGTGCGCCACCGGGCTGGCCCTGTACAAGGTTTTTCACTACAACACTGTTTGTAATAGCAAAACACCAGACACAACACAATTGTTTTTCAATAAACCATAGTATTTGCACACAATGTAATACTATGCAGGTGTGAAAAGGGAGGAAACTCTCTCTACACCAACAGGGACAATCTTTCAACTTATGTTATTAAATGAAAAATAACAAATTTGGAATAATGTTAAGTAGTATGCTACCTTTTGTTAAAAAAAAAAAAGCGGGGGGGGGAGGAATAAGAATAGATATTCATATTTGCTAGTATTTGTAATACTGAAATACTAGAAGGTTATATAAGAGACTAAAACATAGTTACTTTAGAATGGAGTGAACAGAAGTGAGTGGAAGCAAGACTTCCCAATGTATAACTGTTTATATTATTTTCATCTTTGAACTCTAAAAACATACTACTTAAGTCAAAAATATCAAATTACAAAATAAAACCAGCTTACTTGGATTTAAAAATTAAAACCACTTTCTAGAAAAACAAGCCATAAAAAAAGTCGATTGAATAATAAATGATGAACTGAAAAAATATCTGAATACATATGTCAAGGGTTATTTCCTTAGCCCTTTCCTTTCAACCAGAAAAGATAACAACCCAAAAGAAAAATGGGAAAAGACAGGAACAAGAAATTTGCAGAGGAAGAAATAGAAACAACTAAAAACACAATGAAAAGATATTAATATATACTTATAATTAAAGAAAGGCAAACAACAATGCAATACCATTTTTACCTACCAGACACATTACGAAACAGTCACTGTCATATACCAGGGTACTGCAAAAAGTTCAGGGAAAGATTTGTATTCTATTTCAATTCTATTTTTCCATGAACTTTCTGAAGTACCCTCATATGTTTGGTAAGACTATAAACTGGTGAAACCTTTTCAGAGGGCAATCTGGCAATATTTATCAAAACATAAAGCATTCATAGCCTTTACCCACCAATTACTAATAATTTAGCCCATGGATATACTTGCACAAATCCATCATGATATTTGTTCAAGGACACTGCTTGCAGCACTGTTTTTAACAAAACAAACAACTCAAATGTGCATCAATAAGGGCCCTAATAAATAAATTATAGTTCAGCTACATAATGCAATATTACACAGGCATCAAAAAGAATAAAGTTCACCTATAAGTGTTAATATGGAAGGTCACCAAGGTATGTCATTAGGTGAAAAAAAGCAAGGTACAGAAAAGTATATAGAGTAGAACCTATATGTAAAATGTGAGAGGACCTAGAAGCGAGGGAACAGAGAAGAACACTTCAACTTCTTTTTTGATATATTTTCTTTTACATTTTATATACATTTCTGCTCTGAATTTTAACCATGAAATTTTTTTAAACCAAGTATTTAAAATATATTTTGGCAATCATTTGCCAAATATTTACCAAGGAAGGTAGATACTTTATCATAACTACATTGTTCTTCAATATGAAGATACTTCAAAAAGTTCATGAAAAGATTCGTATCCTTTTAATTCTATTTTTCCATGAACTTTTTGAAGTACCCTTCTATTTCTGTACAATAGGAATGAGGGCAACACAGATGGTTCTAACCAACAATGTAAAACCAGCAGGACACTTCCACATCACCTCAAGCTGTATTTTCAAGCTACAAGATACAAGTCACAGGGCTGCAAATTAATCAGGTGCACATTTCTACAAGAGCCTCTATGTTTAGTGTTACATGAACAGGACTACAATCACAGCATGGTCCAGAGACGCAATCATAGTTCTGGATTCACTACTGACTTCAACCTCAAGCAAATTATTTAGCTGGCTTCTTTGGACCTCAGTTTCCCCATTTGTAGAAGAATGTATGTGTGCATGTGCATATATGGGGGGGGGCTATGAGATGATTCTAAAACTGTATGGTTCTAACTTAAAAATACTGCAACCTTTGCATAGGTGTTTTGGAAAAAGAAAAAACTCACTAATTTGGAAAGTAGCAAACATGCTCAAGCTGCTCTTAGGCCACTTACCCAGGATCTCAATAAACATACATAAAATATTAATAATTATACCACAGAAACAGCTTAGCCGAATTCCTATAGGCTGAAAAGAAAATAATCCATCAATGGTGTCTACTACCATCAAGCCAAAAGAACATAGTTCACATGGTTAAAGTAATAAGGTAAAAATACTTTCAAGATTTCAGCCCTTAAGTGAAACAAGTCAGGCACAGAAAGAGAAATACCACATGTTCTCACTTATTGGTGGGAGCTAAAAATAAATAAATAAATACACACACACACACACACACACACACACACACACACACACACACACACACACACACACACACACACCCGGGGGGAGGGGGGAGGGGAGAAGACATAACAACTACAGTTCCTTGAAGTTGATAAGACAGGCAAACAGAAAGGACATTGTTGGGTGAGAGGGAGGAGGGAGGGAGGTTTTGGTAATGGGACACAATAATCAACCACATTGTATATCGACAAAATAAAATTATTAAAAAAAATAAAAATTTCAGCCCTAATTTTTATTTTTAAGTGGCATATGGGTATAAAATTCCCCATTAGCTACTTAATTATAGTTTTGTCTCCCTGAGCCAACCGATAATGTTACACTGACTCTGAAGATTTGCAATAGTGCTATGACATGAACGCTAACATTCTGAAATATGTGTGGTTCAATTTGGGGGCAAAATGGGGAAAACAAAACTTTTGGAGATTCAAACTTTACAACATCATGGAGGTTAGTCGCATGAGAGGTAGTTATATAGGACATCATGGCCATTAAAGTTATTATTCCTATTAGCTATAAACTGTCAAGTATTTCTTTACTTGGTAAAACTAATTTTACACTATTCTTACCTATTTATGCACATTCACAGTTGCTCACACACAAAAAGAATTCTTTCAGTGTCAGAGGGACAACATATTACTATCAATTATCTTGAATGGGATGTAAGTGCCAGAAAAGGGTAGGCACTGATTTTTATTTTTTCTATTTTCATATTTGTCAATAGATTATCTACATCTATCCTCTTTTCACTATTCCTTTTGGACTGAGCAGAGGCTAAAGGAAAAGTAAGCCAAAAATACTTAATATTTTACACCAAACAAGTTATTTGCTTAAGATAATTTGGCCAGCCTCGTGTCTGGCACTAACACCCAGCCTGACAGTTCCAGTATGAATTAAACACCAGTTTTAATGGGTGCTGTGTTCCAATGCCTTCTAATGCATTGACGGTTACTGGCCAACTCCTTCACATAAAGGCAAGAGTGAGTGTACGTGTGTGAACATGTGTGTGTGCCCACATGTATGTATGGAGGGATTACATGGGGGAGCCAGCCACAGCTGCTTAATTTTTGAAAGGCTTTTTTTTTTCCTTAATAGGGAGGAGGATTGCAGTTACTTACCGTCCTCATAAGCTGCTACCGCCAGCGAGCTGTTTATCCTCACAAAGGAGACATATGGCTGCATTCCAGGTTCATCGTCGTCCTCATACTCTGATTCCAGGAAGGGGGCTACATAGTCCCAGGTGCGGGTGTCCCACACCCTCACATCCCCTGACGTATATCTGGAAAAGAAGGACACACTTGGTTCCAAAAAGGGATTGAAGAGCAGGGCTGTGGTGCAGAAAATGAGAGGAGCTTAATTAAAACAACAGAGTAGTAAGATTTGGTCTAGGTGGAACCACTCCTGTGGCACTGTTTAGATGAGTAACTTCGACAGGAGAGAACGTCAACTGTATGACAGAAGGCTGTGAACAGTTTCACATGGTGACAATTTCAAATGAGAAAACAGTTAGAAGGAATGGGGTATCAAGAACGCCTTTCCTTTCCTTTTACACTGTTATAGCCAATCTGCTACCCTGAGTTCTCCCATTAAAGGGATCACTAGCAGAAATGTGTATAAGCAGCACTATTTACACTTACACACACACACACACACACACAAGACAGAGATGCTGCAGAAATACTAAGAACTACTAGTCTTACAGGCACAAGCTTTCTAATACCTCATCCATGCATCAGATTTGACTAATTAAAGTCCCTAAAGACTAATTGATTTGCTGAAACAATTAAATCTTGCCTTTAGCAGCCAGACAATGCTGCCTTCTTGTGAAAAGCTCTTGCTGAAATGCACGACACTCCCTGGTCTTGCTCTCTTAGAAAATAGGAGTACTCACTTTCTCCTCCTACTACTGCCACTCCAGCAAACGGCTCTCTCCATCAAAGCTGAGGCAGGGCCAGAACCTGCTCAGAAGCAAGGCCCCTAGGATGATGGAATTGACCAGATGCTGAGATGGGGTGCTGCCTGCCATTGAAGTATTCAAGCTAAGTTCCTTAACATCTGCTACAGAGGGTTTCATTCCATGTGTAAAGCAACTGTGTGTCCTGGGGGTGGGGTGGTTAGAAATGCTTTCAAGTGCTTCATGATGTCCCCATACAAACATAGATTGCAGGCAATTTTAAGGGGGGGGTTCACAGTCTTCCTGAGGTCCCAGCCATAGTTCCTTCAGGATTTCTTTGTAGAGCTGAACAGGATAAGGGATCTGAGATCTGAGATCTATTTAATCACTGAAGTCTATGACATGATACACTAATGAAGTAGCTATAGAAGAACAATCTCAGGTGAGGTAAAGAAACTAAGAATATGTTGATTCACGAGAGCTTCATTTACTACATGTAGTAGTATTTCCCTCAAATTGTTAATCTACAGTAAATACATACATTACATAACCCACAGGTCATTCTGCCACACCAATTTCCTAGGTTGAAGAACTCGGCTCCCTACCTACAGGACAGTGCTTGGAGATTGTGTCTGTGGTATAAAGGGCCAAATAGGAGAGAAGTGAGAAGTGCTTTCTTTTTTCTTTTAAAATTTATTTATTTATTATGAATATTCATGAGATACAAAGCTAACTGTCACCCCTCGGTCCATGATGTGAGGGCCAGATTCCTACTGGGGGCATACCCATCACCAGAAATTACTTTTGTACCCTTTGTCCCCCACCCAATTATCCACCAACCTCCCTCCCCTTCCCCCTCTCCCCTCAACTCCACTTTGTAGCCCTAGGAATATTCCCTCCCTCTGTTGGATCACGGCGCTACTGTGGTCTTTCTTTTCTTCCTTCTTTCTCTGTTAGCTCCCACATATGAGTGAGCACATGAGGTATTTATCCCTCTGTGCTTTGCTTATTTCACTCAATATAAGTTTCTCTAGGCTCATCCATGTTGTTGCAAATGGGAGAATTTCATTCTTTTATGGCAGAGTAGTATTCCATGGCATATGTATATCACAGTTTCCTTATCTAATCATCCACTGATGGACATTTAGGTTGGTTCCATATCTTGGCTATTATAAACAGAGCTGCGATAAACATGGGAGTGCAGGTATCCCTTCCACACAATGATTTCCATTCCTCTAGATAAATACCCAGAAGAGGGATTGCTGGATCATATGGAAGATCTATCTGTAGTTGTTTGAGAAACCTCTATACTGTTTTCCATAGTGGTTGTACTAATTTACAGTCCCAGTAACAGTGTAGCAGTGTTCCCAAGAAGTGCTTTCTAAAATTGGACTGCTGTACCTGTTTGACCACTGATCCTCTAGTACATAGAAACACTCACAACACTAGTTTCCTTAAGCCTGACAATGTGCAAGTGAGGGCAGATACTGATATTGCCCCAGCCAAACCATGGCCACTGGCTCCCGGGCAGTAGTCTGGATCCCCCTTCTCAATGAGGAACACCATACCAGAACACATACCTCATATCCTGCTGCACCAAAACTACCTGGCTCAACTTGCTACTCCCAAAACGACTCAGTCCTCTCCCTAGAGGAAGGCCACTGTTCAGCTACAGAGAGAATTAACAGAGATAACATGTAAGTTTCTAGATTGTGTGAGATTAGATTCTTATGGTTAGATTACATGTAAAAGGAACTAGCCAATTCAGAAAAGATGAGAAAGACAGCAACGTCTTTCAGAAATACAGAAAAGGTGGGCCGGCCCGTGGCTCACTCGGGAGAGTGCGGTGCTGATAACGCCAAGGCCCCGGGTTCGGATCCCATATAGGGATGGCCGGTTTGCTCACTGGGTGAGCGTGGTGCTGACAACACCAAGTCAAGGGTTAAGATCCCCTTACCGGTCATCTTTTAAAAAATAAAAAAAAAATAAAAAAAAAAAAAGAAATACAGAAAAGGTAAGTGAAAGAAAAAAAGGAATTTGGGAGATCAGAGAGCTAAGGAACTTTGAGGAAAAGAAGTGCACAAAGCAGGAAATGTATCACTTCCTGCCTGTCTCGGGCACTCTGTGTTTTATTAACTGTACGTACACCACACCAGTCGTCTTCATGCAGTTCTTCGTGGTGCCCCCTGAGGGCCACAGTGGGGAAGAGACAGGGACAGAGAGAATTTTAGTGGCCTGAGCTCCAGCTCCCAGCCCCTTTACATGAAGAGTTATGGGGCAAAGCAACAACATAACAAAACTTGAAGAAAAGGTGCTTTAACTGCAGAGCCAGACAAAAGTGAACTATGAAATACAAACTGTTGATCTCTTTCCTTATTTCGGGGGAAGAGGATAGAGGGAGGGCAGGGATCCCATGGAGAATAGCACTCTATTAATATCTAAAAGGTTCCTGGTAAGTCTTTTCTTCCATAAAGGAAGTTGTCCCACTCACACTGCACCTCCACACGTCTAAAATTAGACACATTCTCTCCTTAAAAAGCTTCAGCTCAACGACCAACTAGCCTGCTTCTGAATTCCTTATTTTTGTCAATGGTATCATCAGTCCCTGATCTTTGGTACAAAAACGGAGGGACATTTCAATACCTCCCTTGCCCACCACCCACACTGCTATGTATGTACAGGTCACCAAGCTCTTTCTGTTCTCATTCCTAGAGATGACAACCTGGTCTAAATCCCTCAGCACCTCCCATCCTGACTGTTACAGTCTCCCTGCTTCTGAGCCTCTGCCACCTTCAATCAACCCTGCACAAGCCAAGCCCTTCGAAATACCTGATCAACTGAATCATTCTTCTGGAAACACTCCCTTTCTCCCTGCCCTCCACAGGAGACCACGGCCCCTCACTACGATATACCTTGATAGCAGCCGGGAAACCGGAACATTTCCCTGATGGCGCATGCGTGCGTGTGTGCGTGTGTGTGTGTGTGTGTGTGTGTGTGTGTATCTAACTGTTTGTCTGTGTGTGTGTGTGTGTGTGTGTGTGTTTATGTGTGTTTATCTAACTGTTTGTCTCCTACTAACCTATAAGCCTTTGAGGTCAGGGGCTAGCTCTTGTTCACAGCCAGAAGAGAACAACCTGACACCTAGGAATCCCTCTGTAAATACTTAACTCTCAATGCCTTATTGAATGAAGTTTCAATTACAGGGCCTGCCAAAAACCCTCCACATGCCTGCTTCCACCACTCTCCCCAGCCTCATTCTGCTCTTCCTTAGCAGACAAGCTTCCAAACACTCTTGCATCTGAACCTTGGCTCCATTATCCACCTTTCTAGAGCCTTTCTCTCATCACGACTCAGCCAGTGTGGCTCAACCTTGGCTGTACGGTAGAGTAACCTGGAATGCTTTTAAAACTCCAGATACCCAAGGACACCCCAGACTAATTAAATCTGACTGTCTGGGGTGGGACCAGAGGCGTGTTTCCCAAGATGCAGCCAAATTAAGAATTACTGACCCAGCCCTATCCTACCAACCTTCAAGTTCTATAGCACAGGCCTTCCCCGCCTCCATGAAGCCTTTTCTGACTCTACTACTATGTCCTTTATCTGAAGAATCAGTGTTCATTGCTACATTCCATATGTATAGATCATGTCTCCTCAACTTGACTGTGAAGTCCTTGAGAAGACCCTATTGAAATGCCATAGCCTCCATCACAGTGCCTTACACACAGCTGATAATAAATAAATGGTGATTGAGAGGAGGGTGTCACAAGGAACAACCTGACTGGTTGAGTGGCACCTCTTTCATTCCCACAGCTCACCTTCCAGTGCTAATGATTAGCAAAACACCAACAATGCACACATCAATATGCATTAGACTTCTTGCATTTACTTCCAAACTGATTAAAATATAACTCTATAAAACACGGGACAAGCTAAGTTATTTCTGCAAACATGAAATTTTCCATAGAAAATTTAAATTAACTCTATTCTTCATGGCCAAAGAGCATGATAGCAACACAAAAGTTTTGCTGCCAAATGACTCCAGAGGTAAAATATAAAAGACTCTTTTTTTTTTTTTTTCTTGTGGCTGGCCGGTTCAGAGATCTGAATCTGTGACCTTGGGTTTATAAGGCTGCACTTTAGCCAACTGAGCTAACCAGCCAGCCCCCTGTCTCCTTTATTGATAGGAACAGAGAATAAATATCCTATTTCAGCAGGTAATGCGTGATGACTCAGCAGCAGGCTCTAAAACCTAACGCAAGTGAAAGCAACCATAGCAATGGGAGTTAGACTCAGTGCTAGTGATCTCACACTAAAGAAACAGACATTTTCATGTGGGGAAGATACTGGTTGGGGCAGAGGGGCCTGGACCAAACCCTAACTGTGAT